TCCTCTACTACCAACATGGACCCACTTATACTCGTCGCGTTGTGGCTCCACAGTCGGCACTACCCACAGTACTATTGTCATTACACCAGCAGTTAGGCCACGCGGGCTCAGGGAAAATGATTGAAGCGGCTAAAAGACGTTATTGGTGGCCTCACCAGAGGAAAGACATCATAGATTTCTGTGACTCCTGCGAGGTATGCCAAACTATTAAGGCTCCGCACAAATATAATAAGGCACCCTTAGAACCCATTATAACTGGCCATCCGAATGACTTAGTACAAATAGACTTGGTTGGACCTCTCCCAGTAACTTCCAGAAATAATAACTATATTTTAGTCATGGTAGACCATTTTACCAAATGGTGCGAGGCTATTGCGATCCCACAGATTGATGCTGTAACCATCGCAGAGTCAATTTTTGACCACTGGGTCAGCCGTTGGGGGGCACCACTTCAACTGCATTCAGATCGAGGATCCAACTTTGAAAGTATCGTTGTCAGCGAACTCTGTCGTATAATGGGTATCCGGAAGACACGCACTACCGCGTACCACCCACAGGGAAATGGCTTGGTTGAACGCACCAATCGGACACTTAAATCCCTCTTGCAGGCATTTGTAGATCAAAACAACCCCAGGGAATGGGACCGATCACTCTCACAGTGCTTAATGGCATACAGAGCAAGCATTCACAAAGCTACGCGTCAAACGCCTCATTATATGGTCACTGGAAGAGAACTCCGGTTGCCAATCGATCTGACTTCAAACACACTAGGAGAGGATACACTGATTGCATCTGAACACGTAATCAGACTTCGACGAAACCTGAACAAGGTACATCAGATGACTAGGGATATACTCCAAACAAACCAGAGGTACCAGAAAGAATACTATGATAGGAAAGCACATGGATCACCAGTGGAGCCAGGAGACAAGGTGATGCTACTTAAGGAGGCACCACCTAAAGGGAAAGCTCTTAAATTCCATAAACGCTGGGAAGGACCATTCACTGTAGTAGAGGTACTAAGTGACTGCACCTGTAGGATTCAGGAACCGAATTCCTCTCATAGTCTAGTCACACACTTCAATAGACTAAAACCTTTTCGACAACAGGCCTTAGAGCAGACAAGTCCCGCAGGAACAGTCACCTAGCACTGCGGACAGTGCTCCTATGGGAGAGGGGGTAGTGTAAGGCATGGTAAGTTTGGCGGTTTTCTAATGTTCAAACCATGCTTGTCTACTTTCAGGTTGGCTGCGAAGTATGCAGGGATTGGTTACCCAAGACGAGGCAACGGATGACCAATAGGAGTGCCCTTCCCTCTTATCTACTTGTATTGCGATTGGTTGTAAATATAATACTTGACCTTGAGTCCTCGTTCTTACTAGCACGCAACACTTGTGTGATCACACTGCTAACGTGCGCTTTGCTCTCTGTTTCAGATCATTGCTTGACGAGTGGGATTACACGTGGTTGTAGTCATACGATAACCAACCAATATTGAGGTAAGTACAACGTTTACAAGGGATTGAAAGCTGTTTTTAGAAAAGTAAAAGTGCTAAGGTGAATCAATAAAGTGTAATGAAATGGGTAAGTGCAAGTATCACTAATAAATGCATTAATAAAGGAAACTCCCTAGGCTGACAACGTTCATTTGCAATGTATAATGCTTCCTGTACAGTTTGCACTATCATGATGTCCACTTTTGGTTTTAATACATTTTTTCCTTATGTCGGTTTTTTTATTTTATACCTTTTTGTGCATTTAGTGCACAACCGTACCCTTCAGAGAGTAGAAACATAATAAGTCATAAAGAGCTGTAAAATGTTGGTTTTAATGGAGTAAAATGAGGATCAAGTAAAGATGTTATTAGAAAATAAATGAGATAAGACATTTTGCAGTGGTATGTAAAGATCTGGCAATGGATACCAAGTTAATTTATAAGATGCCCCATAAATCTGTGCAGATCCCACGTGGTCGCATCTCAACAATAGGCTGGGCGAATGGTATATATTTAAAGGTGGAAGCATGATCTGTCAAGGCGTTCATTATTATCTTTTTGAAGATAAAGATCTAAGCCCTAATAAAAATCAGAAATATCTCGAGCCTTCAAATTGCGTATTTCTGTTCCTGCAGAATGGGGCGATTCACCTTAGTGACTGCCACCATATCTACTGATCAGCTAGCGCCACCCTCCCTCCTTTTTTGATGTTAGGCTCTGAGACTATGATTATTATGGCTACCGCAAATATATTGCTTGGTACCAGACATGTTCGTACCTCATATTCTATCTCCCTAGCTTTCTAAATGAGTGCTTCCAATAGGTCTCCACATACATCTCTATGAACATATTATATATGTGTGCATGCGTCCTAATGAACAGATTACTTTATAAGAAATCAAAACCTTAAAGAGTAAAACGAATAGGTATTGTGAATAGTGGAGCAAGATTCAGCAGAACACTATAGTTAGGATTCAATGTAGGTAGTAAGAACTGAAGGGAAGGTCGGTTGGCAGGACTTAGTGTACTAAATTATCATGACAGTCTTGTATATAGTAGATATCTGACATTGCAAAGGAACGTGTCTAAACGTATTATAAAAGATATTAACAGAAATACTACATAGCTTTAACATTATGAATTTTAGAGAATTATATGAGAATGGGCAACTGTTGACTGAAGATAGTCAATTCAACTCAAAAATAGTGCAGTGTATTATGCTAATAATATAAGTATATTCGTAAGATATTAAAAGATATGGTTGCTAATGTAATGGTTTTCGGAAATAATTATACTAACGAACTTATTGAAGATTACAGTGAAGAGGAAACCAGTGAGTTAGTTAAACGGCTACTGTGCAGTTAGCAGTTAAAACGTCTTTTTTTTAAAGTAAAAGGTAGAAGAGTTTTGAGTACCGGAGCAAATTAAGTCATATTCTACTGAGTAGAGTGTAGTGAATAGTGGTACGATTAGGGATAAGGGTAGGTTGAATGAACTTGGGGAAAATGGTTGGTTGAAACTACACTGTTTCCATCTGAGAAGATATCAACGGAGATGAAGCGAATGAAAGACAGTCAGGGAAACATAATTACCGAAGAGATGATATAAGGGAAACGCTGCAATGATCACTTCAACAGGTTCTTGGCTCGACCGTCATGTATACCTCTTCCAAAAATGACATCAACGGCCGCCATCATCACCAGTGGTGGTCATCGGTCATCCAGTAAACGAATTATTTTTTTTATTTTTTTTTTTCGATTTACAGCTTGATTCCACACTGTATTTTTGGTACAAGTATGGAATTTTCAGCATGGAAATTTTGCAGGCCGACCATAGATATCAGGTGTGCGTCGGAGCGGGCTCGAACCCAAGACCATGTGCATGGTCGGCGAGAGTCCTAACCACTGTGCCACCGACGGAGACTAAAAGGTCTCTTAAATTTGGGGCGATTCCCTATCATCACTAAAACTTTTCAGGCCATGCGAAACATTTCAAGAAGCTGAAGACTTTTATCAGTTGCTGCCTCCACTCCACACTGAAAATATGATGCCCGGTTGGGGTAAATAAGTAGGAGCTCTGGCAGCGAACCAACCGAGAACATATTGCGCATCTAATATGCAGAAGGAAATGGACTGACGATGTCGAGGCCGTCAGCTCGCTGGCACACGAGTCCTAATGGAAAAGTATGAGTTTGACGTTTGTTCTTAGGTGACTTGAGATGGAATACGTGAAATGAGGGCTTGTGGTTAATCACAGAGTCAGCTAAAGAGGAGGATAAGGTAGAGGTTTGAAGTTGAAGCTCTGCTTTGTTCGAAACCAGGGGAAATAATAGGGAGAAGAATCTGAAAAGCAAATGCGACAGAATGTGAATCACATTTAAAATAATTTGCAGCAGGAAGCTTACAAGGTACATAGTAGAGTCTGTCCCTATATTGATTGTCCTGTAATGCCGAAACACTTGAATAGAAGCCGATTATTAGCACTGATCAAGCAAGAAGATATATGCGTCAAATTAATACTGATCTTATTAAGACGCTGGTGATAATGTAATTCACGAAGCTGTAGTCATACATACGAACGATGGTTAGTTATTCGGAAAAGATAGTTAGAGAACATGTAGCCCACAGAGAATAGGGAAGGGGATAGTTGACATCTACTTTGTTTTGTCCTCTGCTGACTAATATCTTGTTGGCTCGCCTTGTGTGATGTTGAAAGCATAAGCTGTCTCAATCGCGATGCTTGGTTCCAAAAAGGCGAACATTACCATTGTTCTCAGTTTTAATAAATATATCATGGATGAATGTCGTTTGCCTAAATTCTTGATGTTCTTGAATCATCTATTTGAACATTCATTCGATGTCTATATCCAAGTCTTAATCTGTAAAGTTAGCCTTTGTCTTTATACCTGTGTGAATTTATCATGCACAGCACTGTATGCATATTGATATACGACATCATCATTGCTGGGTATGTAAACAAATGTGTGAAGTGTAGAGAAAACAGAATTTACCCAAAACAAACTACAACAAGTGACACTGAAAGAACTATACTACTGACAAGAAATAAATAGTACCACTATGAAAGTAAATTAGAAATGGATAGTTTCACTCTAAAGACAGTATTTTCCAGTATAACCACATATTTGTTTATAGGTTTAGCTGTATTTCTCCAGATAGATTATGTTTTATCTCATTGCTCGATTTCTTCTGACATCCTATCTTTTAGTGTGGATGCTCGAACCATGTCTAAGGATTAACATGAACTTATTTTGATTGATGATGACTAGTCATCATCATTTTTGGGACTCATCACATCGATGTGTCTGTCACAGGTGGATTGTTTGAGGCTCAGTGGGAACACAATCACTCACTGCGGACGCAGGTATATCCAGGTGATGAGTCTCAAATAGGATGAAATGAGCATTCTGGATTCCACTTGTAGTCGTCAGCAAGCTGAATAAAAAAGGGCGATGCTGCTAACTGGTCTCCATCATTTAAGGCTGTAACTTGCTGATGATTATTTCATGTAACGTTTCAAGCCTTATCGGAAATCGTACTTTCTATTCCAGTAACTTTATACTCTTCTCTATGTTCCTATAACTTTTAACAAATTAAAATTATTGATCCGCCCTTCAGCATTTCTTAAAGCATCACATAATACAATAAAAAAAATGGTCATGAAGTAGTCTATAACAAAGAAACAATCAAAAAAGCTGCGTAGCCGATTGCATAACATTTCATTTCTATTCAATATTTATAAATGACTTTGTAATAGCCATGTAGATATAGAAAATAAGTAATCGGCTTCCTCTAAGAAGTTGGTTTTTCCTCGACATGTTCTTTAATTGCACCTTAGGTAGTAAAAAAAGTAAAAATAATTGTGTAACACTATTTAAAAGGTGATATTAAAAGCAGATGCGAATACAGAAATTATATAATATTGATTTATTTTGTTTAAGTCAGTTTTGTTTTTTCCCGTTGATTGATCGAACCAAAATGTTTGGCTTCTGATTGGACACTAATAAGTAACTGATGTAAGGTGTCTAGTCCTATCTTTGATGTGGACTGAATTCTGTCAGTCAAGTTTGCAATGTGGCCATTAAGCTAGGTGGATTGCAATCGCAGCGCACTGTTAATTGTTGGTTGACTTCTGTTGGCATATAGGCTGCTAGCATGGACGCTTCGATACTGTCTGAAGATTAACACTGACGTTATTTGGTGAATGGTGTACTCACTGAAGATTGCAGGTGTTTCCAGCTAATGGGACCCAGACAGGACGAAATGAACATATTGGATTACACTGATGACCACTATCTACGAAATAAAATCAATATTGATTGCACTTATCTACAAGCTTGTTTTACTTTTGAGTCAGTTAACATCCTTCTTATTCATGATTCTTCTATTCCTAAATTCAAATGAGTATATTTTATATGCGCGACTCCTGAAAAGTCTTGTTTAACACAGATATTTAGTGTTTTGTGAGCCTTAATTAACATTTAATGCTTCTTCATTACACTCAGTAATTTTTTTACTAATAATTTCATAAATAGATAGATTGATTGTAGTGGGAATGTGAACAAACACGTGTAAAGGTAACCTGGTTAAATAGCTAAGCGTATCATATTTCATCTAACCATTTTTTAAAATTTTCTCAACACTGAACATATTAGATGCACTTACAGATGTATTGATTTTCAGTGAACCAATGGAGAATTGAATACCTTGAATACACCCTCAATTCTAAAAAAGGAAAGATGAATAACAGGTAAAGATTACGTGGAAAAGCCTTATACAAATACACTTATTACTATATTATATTGTCTGATGCTAAAATAAAGAATGTATATATAACTCCTGTGGGTCCTGAGTGGAACATAGGGCTTCGATCTAGAGCTCTGAAGTTTCGGTAACAGTGATTTATTTTTACCGGGTGGAGTTGCTAGCCTCAAATCCAACCTCGCCTCTTTAGAAGCCTTAATACTTGCTAAGCAAGGTTTAGGAGTGCATTGGCCGTAAACCACCTCAATGGCTGGCTAGCCTCCTACCGCTTAACCACCATTGCACAATGTAAAGAATAGAATAATTAAAACCGAAAATTATTTGTCGGCATTACATTTAACATTAGACTTCCTATTTCTATTTACTCGAGAAGCGCATAGGTGCGTATACATCTAACTTCTTTTCCATTACACTTTTATTACATAATACATATGCTGTTATGCATAAGTTATTTGACTTTGCAAACTGAATATAACAGCCAACACGTTAGACTTCTGCTCATGCTGTGCAATGTCTCAAATCGAACTGTCTTCAGTGATTTGAGATGCATGAATATTGTATGAATGAAAGTGAATATCCTGACTACTGAATATCACTCCCTAGAAGTGAGTCAGTTGATCTCGTCGTCCACAAATTCTCATTAGGAATTCGAGAATTCCAAGCTAAAAGATCCCACAAGTGTCGTTATTGCTACAGCTGGATTACTGTTTCCTCACTGATTGTTTTGTAAAGTGCTGAAAGAAATTTAAGGTATTGTTAACTTCGTATAGGCATCTTCTGAGTGGGAATTTTAGATTAGAGATAACATTTATCCTAAAATATTTTATCGTCTTTAGGTTATATTAGTATGCATATTACTGATAAGGATGTACTTAAATAGCATATGGTGTCACATTCTCAATAGGAGTCACATGGACAAAAGATTAACTCTTGAAGGTTTTGAAAAGCGAAACAGTAAAAATTGATGCTTAGTTTGTTTATTTAGGAGAGATATATATGTCGGGTGAATGTTTTTATAATGGCTGTGTTCTCTCAGGTGTATTGTTTAATTGAATAAGTTCTCATTGTCCTTCTAGACAACGTCTTCAGAGTTCACATCACGAAACCATTTGCTAGTAATTTATTTCATTATTTCCATCCTGTTATATCTGCTAGCAGTATAGAAAATGTGCGTCGGTGGCATATAGGTAGAATGCTTGTCAACCACACAGGTGGTCCGGGGTTCGATTCCCAGCCGACACAATCCTTAACTTCGCTAAGCCAGTAATAACACTGGTAAAGAGGGAAGGTCGGACATGAAGCTAGCGACCCCATCCTTAAAAATAAATAAACATCACTGCTGCGGAAACTTCAAGCCTCTAGCTTGAAACTCTGTGTTCCGCTAAGAACATAAAAGAATAAAACAAAATAGAGAACTTTTAAATATGTAAAGGTTTGGGAAATTCAACTCACGACATAACACTGTTCTCAGAAGTAAGCGTAAACGGTTCCCAGTTTGCAGCTTTCTCAGATATTGCAGGATTAACTGATGACATTGTGTAAGTTACAGTATCAATTAAATTTGATGGATTGTAGTCTTGATTTGTTACAGTTGCGCTGAGTACCATTAGTTGCTTGTGTATTATTCATGAAAGAATAAATCATAAATCAGATTGGTTTAAAAATTAATTTTAACTTTACACTTTAACTGGTGAACAGGAATGTAAGTTCATTTTCAATGACTGATAGTTATATTGCTTTGTCTTTAGTCACTATACTTGTGGATGTACACAATATTCAAGTAATCGTTGGTTTTGTAGGTATTTTGTTTGACTAGTTGAAGAATTTCATTATGAGCTGACATCAGTTAGGGAACCATTGGAAAACCTGCAGGGAATACTGAACAGCTGTTTTATCCTAGTTTGGGACTCTTCATCAGTTCGCGTCCACCGTCCCAAACTAGAATGAAATAGCTATCCAGTACTCCTGCAGGTTTTCCAATGGTTATCTAACTGATATCAGTTCATGATGAAGTCCTTTAACCGATGTACACAATATTCATTTTTAATTGTCATCATAAGATGTGTTTACATTTCGAAAGAATATTAGTCACACTGTCTAATTGGAGAGCTAATGAACTTTCTTATTCCTCTGAGGCCTTACTATAAACTTTGTAAGTAAAGGTAAAATCTACTTGTTCTTTTACATTATAAAAATATGCCTTCAATGGCATATTCTTATTAAGGTCAATTGAGTTGGTAAGGGGAGATATAAAGCAGCCATTCGAATGGAAAACTTATCCATCTACCTTAAAAAGCCATTCAGTGGGCGTCATTATTAGATGTTAGGATAATTAGATGTGGATGCCATGCATGAAATTAATGCTTTTTGCATGTGAATGTGGTTTTTCAATTTTTTTTTTGATATTGAGATGGTAAAAATGTATTACTGAGGTGTGAAAATAAGGCTTCACATTTTTACTGGATATTATTGTGACTGGTGGCTTGCCAATCAGACTTCACAATGTGACACTAAGAAAAAGCTCCTTCTTACTATGTCTTTTCAACCTACTCTGAATTTCAACTTTAAATGGTACATTGAGTTATGCTTAGCAAAATTAGTTCATGCATTCAAAGTACATCGAACAAATATTCTATGCCCCCATGCTTATTTTTGCTTCATAGAAAGAAGATAAAATTGGCTAACTGACTTTTCAAAGGCTTCCACCAGTCGGTGTCATTTTGCCTTTCCGATTCCAGCGAAGAATAAATGTATTTTCACTACATTTTATCTGTGCTCTGTAGTTTTTTTGGCCACTGGATTGATTTTCTTAGGGGATAGGGTGGCTAGCCCCATGTCTTACTTTCCCTCTTTTTCTGGAGTTAGAACCGGTTAGTAAACTAGACGAGGTCAAACAAAGTAATATACTCTTTAAAAAGTTGTAAGCTGATATTCACTAGATATGAAATGATACCTCATCTAGGATCTTATTGAAGTAATGGTTAGTTATCCTAATTTTAAGACGTTTTAAAAGTTAATCTGGTTTGATAGAAGTTGGAATTCAGGGGCCATTGGATCGGGTCCCAGCGGCTTAATGATGTACGAGCTCGCTAGCCTTGTAACCAGAAGGTCCTGGGTTCGAACCCTGGGGGGTAAGTACTGCCAAAAAATCCCAAACTAAGCTGACGAAACAGCTGTCCAGTACTCCCTGCAGGTTTTCCGATGGTTCTCTAACTGATGTCAGCTCATGATGAAATCCTATAGCCAATTAATCTGCTTTGTTTTCACAGTTGATAATTATGAATTTATTACTATAAGGTAAGATCGACTGTGTTTTAAAGTAATCCTATAAATTAATTCAACAATGAGCAGTTTCGATTTTTTTTAAATGTATTTTAATACATAAACATGCACTTACTTGCCATTGCTTTAAGGTAAATTGGAGTGGATTAGTCAACTTTGATGAGAGTTTTGCACTGAAAGTTATATTATTTACATGCTGGTATTGTGGATCAGGTGAACCAAACTTATAAGTTGTATCACATTGCCTAATATATGTGTGTATATAAAAATAAAAACAGTTTACTTGTTAGCAAAGTGCCTAGTTAAAACACAATATGCTTACATTATAGTTTGAAGAATACTATCTATCACTCGAGTTTCTAATGTAAACAATACTCTGAAAGACTCGATACAGGTTTACTTTCTTTTTGGTTTTAGATGATTAGTTTTCTTAGTTATTATTATTTCCTTTAATTCCTAGAGGAACATAGGGCTTTAGCCCCGCGTCTCAATTGCGTTAGGTTCTCTGCTAAAGTTTTCGCCTGGCTCCAAGTCTGCCCACATGCTTTCATCTCCTCTTCACATGACCTCCTCCAAGTCACCCTGCACTGACGACCAACTCGCCGCTTCCCTTTCGGGTTCCACTCGAGTGATGTCACTTGATGGTTTGTTTTCTGCCTATTTGTTTCACAATCGGTTCCTGCTGAGGTGGTTCGCTGATTGCCAGAGGTCCCTGTTGTTGGTGTTTTCTGGCCATTTGATCTTGTGTATTCAGCGAAGACAGCTGTTGATGTAAGTTTCTAGTTTGTTCAAGGTGCCCTTCGTGACGTGGCGCCAAGTCTCTGATCCGTATAGTAAGTAGCGCTGACTGACTTCACATTGGAGTTGGAGATCCGGATCTTACTCTCCATGGTGAGTGGTGTTGATCTCCACATAGACTTGAGAGTAATGAAAGCTTGTCTTGCCTTTCCGATTCTGGCTTTGATATTCTCGTAAGTTCCGTGCGCCTGTAGTTGAAACGATGCTTCCCAGGTCGGTAGCTGAAGGAGGTTGTTTCTTTCAGGTTCCTCCCATTTATGCTGATTGTTGTCTGTTGTTGTTGTTGCTGTTGATGTTGGCTAGGAATCTTCATCACCTCTGTTTTATCTACGTTCACCTGAAGTCCTATCTTCTCTAGATGCTTCTTCTGCCAGCTTGTTGCTTTTCACTTGCATATTTTGTAGTTTGTGGGAAATCAGACGTATATCATCGCTGGCGAAGTCCAGATCCTCCAAGTTCTTTGTGTGAGTCTATTTTACGCCTGTTTATTCATTGCCCGTTGTCTGTCACATTATCCAGTCTACTGCAATCAGGAAAATCATTGGCGATAGTAGGCAGCCTTGTCTTTCTCCCGTCCTCACTTCGAAGGATTCAGTAAGTTTCCCGTTGTGGATTACTTGACATGCAGCATTGTCGTACAACTGTTGGATGAGATGTATAATTGTCGACGAGACCCTGTAGTAGCGAAGTAGTTTTCTTACTTACAGTTTATTTAACACATATCTCTTTAAGAATTCTTTAAAAGAATCTGAAAAACGTATATGATTTTGTGCAGGCATTTTTTAAACTTTTAAATAAAGATTATTAAGGTATAAATATATATTAGTTTTAACCGAATTAACAAACTTCTTGTCGATTATTATTAACGTTTTTATATTTCCCAATCAATGAAAAAAAGCAGAACGATATTGTTTTGTTGACGCTTGGCTATTTCATGCTGATAGCTTTATCATAGTATTGTTATTATCAAACTAAACTGTTTGAATGGGGATGACGGATCGATACAGAATTTGACTTGGTTCCCGCCCCCAGAATGAGATAGTAGAATTAACATGAAGATAGTAAGCACTTTTATTATGTAAACACATACTGTAGATAGCTGTTTCGTCAGCCTAGTTTGGGACTCATCGCCAGCACGCACCCACCGCTAGGGTTCGAACACAAGATCTTCCGGTTACAAGGCAAGCTCGTAAACCGTTCAGCCAATGGAACTCGACTCAGTGGTTCATGAGTTCTAACTTCTACCACTTCATGATTTTATCGCAACCACCAAACAATGTCATCGGTGAGCAGACAGTTTGTTATCTTTATCAATTCACCCATTGCTTAACTTAAAAATTACCTTATACTTAAAGACTCTTATAAAGTTACGTTTTACAAGCTGAGATTTTTAAATTTTGGTTTAATATTGCTTTCATAAAGCTGTTAGCATTATGTGGCAAAATGTCAATAAAAACAATGACTTTTCAATTTCTCATTCACTGGGAAATACAAAAACTTTTATAATAACGAATATCATTCAACCAATATCCAAATTTTTTTAAACTATCAAGTGTGAACTTAGTTTTAGATATATAAATCTCATGTTTCATGATATAATTACACATTCGCTAATCGCATTCTCTAATAAAAATGACTGGGCTACATGGATACTTCCATGTCTCTTGAATCTTTACTGCATTTTTGACGTCTATACTTTTTCTTCTCAGGAGTTCATACTCAACAGATATCTAAGCCAGATCCACTGGTATAATCAATCATGGTAGTTATTACCACGTGTTCAGACAATACGTTTTTACGTCAGTTCACTATATAATTTCCTTTTTCCATGAATGATGATTTGTCATTTAGATTTTTAAAGAAGAAATATGTTTAGACTTCAGCATTTTTAAAGTATGACATTTTAAAACTTTTCTATCCGATCAGCTGTGAAATAATTTAGTTTAAAATGTTTAAAGTATATTAACTAGTCATTATATCTTTTGTAAAGATTATTCCTCTAGAATTTAATTTGTGAATGGTGACTAGCAGGGGAATCCAGGATGCGCATTAAGTCCTATTAGGGACTCGTCATCTGGATACACCTGCATTTCCCAGTGAGTGATGATGTTCCCACCAAGGCTCGAACCCAGTGCTCATAGTTTCAAGCCAACTCTTGTACAACGGGTCGTATTAATTTAATTGGATTTGAGATTTTCCCGTCGATTGATTGGACAGAAGTGCTCGGTCTCAGGTTGACATGTCAGCTTCTTGTGAAGATGCTTCGACGATGTCTGGGAATTTAATTAGAATTTAATTTGTGGATAGTGACTAGCAGTGGAATCCAGGATGTGCATTTCGTTTTATTTGGGACTTGTCGGCTGGATTATTCCTCTGGTTGCATAGATAAAATCACGTTCAACTAAATATCCTCAACACTGTTAAAATCTTTAGATAACCTCTCCAGAAGAAACTATCTTTAATCAAAATAATCTGACAAACCTACGACATTAGTGGAGTGGTGTACAGTTTAGGGATTGAACGGGACAGTTGTATGTCACTTATTAAAATATTAGACAAACTACCTTCACTCGTAAAAGATTTTAAAAAGTTACATTTTAATAACAGAAATGTTAATTCAATTTAACAGTGTGGAGACTAACTGGCAATAGAATGGTCTTAGACAGAATTCGAAGGCTGGTGAACAAGCGGCATGACTTGGAGAATTGTCACACCATGATTTATCAGCTTTAACTTTGTCCGCATATTTGTAATTTAGAATTTTAATCATTGCAGTTACACTATACGCTGTACTATAGTTCAATGCTCCAATTAAAACCAACAAGAGGATAGGATATTTATTCATCTTTATGCTGAATGAAATAGTAGTTTATCTATAAAATTTTAAGAAAATATAAATTGAACAAGTTAATTTTAAACACAATTTTTACATTTATTTAGACGTAAATAAAATAATTACCTACAGTACACTCAGATCACTCATTTTGATGTAACAGTGAAGATTACAATCAAGGCAGAAACACATCAAAAATTACCATTTAGACTATAGGACTAAACAATCTTTTCGATTTATAGAGAGAAGACTGGTAGTTCAGCGAAGAGTCCTTTTTCGGCGTATTCATTTCCTTAGCTGTACAGTCGCAAATATATGTGAATTATTTTGTACGTATGTGTACATTAAGTCTGTCAAACATCAGTTGTTCGATATGCATCCTTTCAAAAAGTGTCAAAGAACATTATCCAGCATGGCTGCAGAAAGGAAGTACTGGCAGTATAAGGAGTGCAATAATCCAACACCTCGTCATTAAAGGTCGTACCATCTGAACAAACGACTCGTTCAAAGTAATCTACAAAGTGAAGAACGACCTGCCAAAACAATACATTTCCGTCCTCTTTGCATTGCAGAAACCCTAACCATTCAGTTAGAAGAACCAGAACTAAGCATACAGGAAAAAATATCCAGCCAGTTCTACTATCATGGTAACAACTCTGTTGATTTGAGTTAAATTTTACTTTTTGTTTGTTTTTCTAACTACTTGAAACTCTTACGCCAGTGCGTATTTTATTTTGTTTTCATGTTCACCTTGAGCATTTCATTAAACTATTCATGTGATTACGTAACTCTTCTTTACTACCCTCTTATATCGACACCCAATTCCTCTGAATACTTATTGTATTGCGTAACTCCACCCAGAACTTACTAATTTTCACCTGTTTGGTTAAAATAACCATAACTAATTGTATTTTTGTTTGAGAAACTTAATATACACATACATATAAAATAACCCATATATATTATTTGCAATTGTACAGTTAAGTAAATGAATTCGCCGAAAGGAGACTCTTCTCTCTATTAACACTAGAATGGGGATTTTTCATGAACTTTTCGATTTAGACAAGTGTTAAAATCTCTGCCAATAAAGTACAAAATTTATTATTTGTAAATTAAACATTTCTAGGTTATATTTACCACAGTTCTCACCTGTCTAATGGGATTTATTCCAGATACTCATCTGATAAACTCAGCTGTAAGCGAGATAAGCTAGTCTTGACTCTCAAGGGCTCTGGGCATACCTATCTGTCGTCTAATTCTCTTCGGTGTGTGAACTGTCGTGTGTCGGTGGCACAGTGGTTAGGACTCTCGCCAACCATGCACATGATCCGAGGTTCGAGCCCCCGCCGACGCACACCTGATATCTATGGTCGGCCTGTAAAATTTGGGCTACCGATATCCATGCTGAAAATTCCATACTTGTACCAAAACAGTGTGTATTCAAGCTGTAATTAAAAAATAAAAAATGATGTAAAATAATTTGCTTTCCGGTGTTTAGATAACCTTGATCCGGCCTAAAGCAATACTGGTTGATGTGATTGATTTTTAACTGCTGATATCAGCCAGTAAGATGTAACATCTGTCAACTCTGTAGACAAATCTAAAGCCCAATAGATACGCTTTCTAGAATATGAATAACATTAGCTAATAATATTCGCCGTTATATCAAAATCGTAAATGGTCTTTAGATTAGATGTGAATTATTACGGTAGTTATCGTTTTAGAATTAAGGTTAATAGTTAGAAAGACACAATATTTGCATAAAACATGTGTTCACTGTCAGGGCCACTTGGTATTATAGCTCAGAATCAACCAGAGTACCACATTTATTTTCGAATTTTATCTTCTTTATTTGTAATATTATACTTATTCGTTTGCTTGAATTTCTCTTTCATTTTCAATGTCTCCTGTTTTTCATCGATATCCAGAAAGTGAAGATATTTAGGTGATAACAACACTGGTTACCATACAAGTAGCGCCACATTCTATTGATGACAGTTTCATCTACCCTGCATTAGTTATAAGTGTGAAAACTTTTCACATCGATATTGCTATTTGCTTACGTGAAACAGAAATAACATGAAATAGGACTAGGCATAATGAAAACCAGCCGAACGGATGAATAATGAGATACCATGTGATGAAAATATCACAGAATCACATTCGAAATATTTTCGTCAGTCTATTTAAAGAATAATATCTATCAGGTAGTCGGAATGACTCATTACGAATAACGCAACAAATAAATTAATGCACAATAATTATACATCTGAAGATCACCATTTTCAAAGAGAGTTGATGTAGGTATATGGATTGTGTAACAATACGGTTGTAGATACTTTTGTTAGATGTTGAAATTAGAAACATTGTACACGACTTTCGTTTAAAACGACTCAACTTGAAATAACTGAGGAGTACAATCTTAAATACAGTGCGCTGCTGGCCACTTCGTCTTCTTACTAGTTTTCCTGTCTACTTGTTTCATTACTAACCATGTTGTATTCTTTAGAGTTTGCAGGAGCCTCTTATTCTCATCCGAAACTATCCTACAACCAGTGCACAGCTTCTACCAGTAGACACGACTGCAACAATGAACACTTGTGGATTATATTAATAATTTGTAGCAGTGAACTTTAACCGTATAACCAAGTAATCGATTAATTTATATGACTCATCACTGTATTTTTTATAAATACTGTTATAGTATCATCTCACTAACTTGGAATTTTATTTAAATACCTGTTCTGTTACTGAGCTAGCTAGAAAGTCCCCTACAAATATCTCAAAGAACTTGAATTTCTTCCGAATAGCATTTGCTGAATTACTACAATGATTGCATCACTTCCCAACGCAATTTTAGATGAGAAAAATAATTAGCCATTATAAAGATAAAATACTAACTCTGTTAATCACTGGTAGACTACCTATCTCCTTTCAATTCATCACAGAACTTAGCAGACTACTTAAAATCATTCCTACTAATTTGATTAATAATAATAACAACTAAAACATAGTTAATGAGTCAAGTTATAACTCTATATGAACTGTATATGTCTCTCACCATCCACAGAACAAGAGCTACTAAAAACTCATTGTCAAGCATCACTTTGCATTTGAAAGGTCTATATAAAATTTCTTCATAATTTTCCGTTAAGTGTTGACAGGAGCTTGACTTTTCATGCACAATAAAGAGTGGGGGGGGGCTAAAGGAAAAATTACCTTTAACAGTACGTCTATCAGAAAGTTCTCTAAGACTGAGGAATGACGGAATCCTTAACAGGCATCTTTAGTTACCTTCCGTTCTTATCATAGAATTTAATATGTTATCACAAACTACATGAATTTCAAATAGAGAACCTTGTTTAACCAGTTCCTATAGGCTGAGGTAATCACATTACCCTTAGAACGATAATGATAAATACTGTCATTTGGCCAGTGAATACAGTAAGTAAGTTACAGTCATCAGTCTACTTCTTTGAGGAAATCAGCGCATTTGTCAATGGTCTAGTGTGTTCATTGTCATTCAGTACTGAAACCCATCTGGTTACTCTTTTTTTTCTTATTATTCTCTCACGTTCCCAGTGGAACATAGGGCTTCAAGCTAGAGGCTTGAAGTTGCGATAGCAATGGTGTTTATTTATTTTTACAGGATGGGGTTGCTAGCTTCAAGTCCAACCTTCCCTCTTTACTAGTGTTATTACTGGTTTAGCCAGGTAAAGGAGTGCATTGGCCAAGACCACATGCATGGTTAGTGAGCATCCTACCGCTGTGCCACTGACGCACTCTGATTACTCTACGTACACTCATTTAAGATTTTGTAATCTAATGATTTATAATTATTTATTAAATGAATATAAATCATTAATTCAAATTCTTACCTCAGCTGAAGTATTAACTGTACATTGAATTATTTATTAAAATTCACAATTTATACCGGTAAAAATTGCATTAATGTAAATATTAAAAATGAAACAGAATAATTTTAGTTTAATATAGTCAAAAAATATATATTATTTACATCAGAAAATAACAAATATTGAACACAAATATTTGTAGTAATAAAAATAAACAAAAATCACCGTGTAAGAGGTATCGTGCAAACGTCAAAAGATTCTCTGAAAGAACAAACAGCTCTTTCATTGAAAAAAAACAAATAAGAATACACCTCTAAACTTGTATTGCTTTGCAAGAATTTCACTGGTTATAGATTTGATGACGAGCTGACATCAGTTAGAATACACCTATGAGACCAGAGATTACTGTACAGCCATGGGACTCTTCATAATAATAATAATAATTTTTGCTTTATTCCAAAAACAGTACTAATGATACGGCAAGGAATTTTCAGCATTCATTAAAATATTGCTTCTAATTTACTCAAAAGGACAAAAAAATAAACATTACATAATAATAACAACAAGACGTTGTTATAGCGGCTATGTAGCAAATTACAGTATGCGATACGGAGAAAAATATGCATAAAGTATAAAATTATAGTAATAGTAGTAATAACAACTAAAATGAAATAACAAATGATAGAGGAATGCGTGAAACGTGTTTTAAATACTTGTGATCCTGGGGTTTTGAGCTTGTCTATGCCTAATAGCCCCCAGCTAGGCTGTCTAGCTTATAACCCTAAAATCCTATAGTAAACACAGCATAAGCTATATAGACGATATGAGCGTGGGTTAAATTGTTCTGATGGCTCGCTTATATAACCGTGTATGGTTTTCTATAGTCTTGGTAGACGTATAGAAGCTATTTGCATGCTAAATTGATTGGCAGTGATAACGATTTCATTGAATTTGGTGGCTGCTGGCTTCGTTTATAGGAGCCTGTTGTCACTATAGCGTCGCTATGCGGGCTACTTTTGCACATAATAATACGTTTGGCCAGTCTTGTATGCGAGATGAGTTCTATTGAGCTTGTCTATGTAGTGCATAATTGATTGACGCGATCAATGATCGGTGTAACAGTGATTACCTGTGCATTACTATGTATACAAACGGTGCGAATGGTCCACCGAGGGAGAGGACTCTCGAGTGGTTGCGCCACAGGATGATCCTGCATGCCGGTCTCGTCTCGCTAGAGGCAGGGATGGGTTTAGTTCTCCTGAAAACCAATACCCAGTCAATGGGTGTATCACTGTGTGAATAAACTGCTTGATCCTGCCAGTAGTCATATGCTTGTCTCAGAGATTAAGCCATGCATCATGTCTAAGTACATACATCGTTACACACCCGCCGGGGTACGAACCCAAAACCTTCTAGTCAGAAGGCCAGCTGGTTGACCACTCAGCCATTGTGATGGAATCCAGTGCCACCTGAATTCCGGTTTCTGTCAATTCGAGCGATACATATAGCGCAGCCGAAAGCCAGCCTCACAGGCGAATAACTGTTCTCTTGTCTATTTGGTAAACCCCACTGGTCACGAAAATAAAGATTACTAAATAAAGATATTAAACATATCTATCTCACATAGTGTATATCTACGTTTGTGTCTACTCACACCTCACATCAAAAGTTCATATCACCACCTTGATCATCGTTATCTCCTATTGTCAAGACATAATCTGAAGCACCAGTTGATGGAGACGGAAAAAAACAGTTTGAATGGGTACATATGGATAACATGAGAAACCTAGTAAGCATGAGCATGTCTTGCGTGTGACGATGACACTAGTGAGAGAGCAGATACTAGGTGAACCATTGGCAGATTTAACCAACTTGCTAGTTGGATCATCACGTCTTCATCAGTGTTTATTTATTTATTTGTATGTCTTTCAGATAAGTTAACTTAATCTTGTTAATTCTTTCTACTTTAGATCATTCTGTACAGGTCAAATTTTTAGTTTAATTGAATTAATTATAATATGAATCATACAACTAAGCTAGACATAATTCGTCAGAACCTTGTGGATTAAGAAATGCCTAAATACGCCAGATCATGGTACCACACTTGGCCACACAATAATGAGTTAGACTGGCGGTCTTACAGGCTTATTTTAAAGGATGAGAGGACAGATTGATTAATGAAGCCTGATATATGGAATGAGTGAAAAACACACTTAGTGAGGATGTTTCAGTGTCTGTTTAGGATGCTTGAGGTGCTTTTCAACCTCTATGGAGAAGGCTGGTTAAAGAGTAAAAATAGGATAATGGTTATAGAGTTCTTAAATTCATTTTGATGCATAAATGAGTAATAAACTGTCTGAAACATAATATTTTATCACTGTGAAATTCTAATAAATGAATTGAAATCGCACAAGCCCATCACTGGCTGAAAATCATAAGTCCAAAGTATTTCTACTAGAAGGAATACATAGCTGCAGTATCAAACTTGAATCGTATCGAGCGAGAATCAAAAATACAGACAACTGTTTAACTATACTTGTTAAAACTTACGTATACGAATCCTTTCAAAAGCTGTCTAATGAACGAGAATCACATTTTCATAATGTCATCAAAAGAAGACAAATACAAAAATTCTGGAAACTGAAAGAAAGAAACAACCAAAGAAAATCTCAGCAAATGATATGAAGAATATTAAAACCACACACAACATATCAAACGAGATACTAACCGAAAATGAAATTTCATTACTGCAGAAAGCTTTGAATTTAAGTATTACTAGAAAGCCATTTTCGGTCCAGGAAATAGAATCTATGATCGAACCTGCTCTACAGTTGATCACCAATGAAGAATCACAATCTGTAAGTCAAAAGACATCACATATATTAATGACACAACGAAACATACCATCTAGTTTCAACAAACAAGAATATGAGTCCCTAAGAAATTTGAAAAAGACAAAAGCATAGTTATAACTAGAGCCGACAAGGGAAACGTCACTGTGATAATGAACGGGAATGATTATAAAAAGAAGGCGACTGAACACCTGTCTGAAGGGCCATACTTAATCATCGAAGAAGGGAAGAAATCTGTCAAATTCAACAAAATGAAACCAAATACCAACAGACTCCTTCAAGAAATCAAACACAAAACTGGGAATTCTCTCTGGTTTAAACTTAAATCAAAACCGTATGTTCCTTCAAGGTTCTACGGTCAACCAAAGATACATAAACCCACAGTCTCATTAAGACCAGTAGTAGATTTCACCAACTCACCGACATACAACCTCTCCAAATACTTATTTTCGATGCTACAACCACTTCAAAAGGACAATCAAAATGTTATAAAAGGTTCATATGATTTCAAATCCCAAATAGAACACGGAGAAATTGATAAAAAGATATTATGGTAAGCTGTGATATTAACTCATCATATACTAGTATCTCTATTACTGAAAGTCTTGATATCATATCCAGTTTACTAGAATCAGATACCACACTATCACAAAGATGTCCACTGGACACCAGTGAAGTTATTAAGAGCTTAAAATTCTGTCTAGAAAGTAATTATTTTACATTTAGAGGTAATTTATATAGACAAACAAATGGTGTTGCTATGGGCTCACTAGTTTCCCCAATAGTGGCTGATCGTTTCATGAATAGATTTGAAGATAACATCTTTTCAAGCATACTCACTCCTAAAATATGGTTGGGATATGTAGATGATACTTTTGCAGTTTTAAAAACGACATCTACACAGTTCATTCCTGAAAAAAACTGAGCAATCTATCTTCCAGCATCTAGTTTACTTCGGAAGCAGAATCAGACGTCGGTGAACCACCATTTCTAGACTGCCTAGTTAAGAGAAGGGAAAACGGATATCTTAGTATATATATATATATATATATATTCAGGAAGGAAACCCACTCCAACAAATATTTAAACTTCGGATCATAGCATCCTATCAGCGCAAAGGTGGTAGTTGTTTCAAGTCTTCTTCGACGAGCACACTTTGATAACGGTTGAAAAAGAGAAAGAAGAGGAAAAATGTAACATTACTGAAACTCTCAAGCAAAACAACTACCCAAAGAACTTCATCAACAAAATCAACACTAACGTATCCCGAAAACATGGGCCTCCATAAAGAGCACAGACGTATTCAGTATTCAATAAGCACGACATCAGAGTTTTCTTCATAACATTAGAGATACTGCAAAGCAACCTTGTCCATATAAAAGACCAAATCCTTAAGGATTCTCTCTCTGATTGTGTCTATAAAATAAAGTGCCTGGATGTGATGCAATATACATCAAACAAACATCGTGGGAAATCAAATTCAGAAGAAATGAACACCCTAGAGCATCTGTTCGACCACGAGAAATCCAGTTGAACTATAAAAGCTTGAGAAATCGCCAGCCATAGGTCTACACGCTATGGAATTGGGGCAAAAAAGTGATTTCAACAATGTTGGAATAATCCAGGAAAATTTCAGAAATCGCAAAGAACATCTAATATCGGAAGCCCC